CAACCCGACAAGGCTCACCTGTGTGTGAGGACGAGAGGCCGGAGTCTCTGGTGTTCAGCAAAGAATGAGTTTACATAACAGGCCTTTGTGCTGTCCCAGATAAAAGAGAGCAGAGGAACGAGGAGTGTTTTAAGGATTCTGAAGCGGCTGAGATTTCCTGGGGGACAGGGGGACCAGGAGGCCCAAGGGGAGCGGGAGAGGCGGGTTAATAAATCATCTGTCCTAATAAGAAGCGGGTTAGCCCTGGAACAGAAAATGGCAAAGCACTCCAGAGAAACAGAAAATAAGAGCTGAAAACTGTCACTGTCACTGTCCTCCCGTTGTTCATCGATTTGCTCGAGCGGGCCCAGTAATGTCTCCATTGTGACACTTGTTACTGTGTTTGGCATATCAAATACGTCACGGGTGGCTTGCCAGGCTTTGCCGTGCGGGCGAGATACTCTTGGTAGCTTTGTGGCTCTCTGAGAGGGGTGGAGGAATCGAACCTGGGTCAGCCGGATCGGCTACGAGCAAGGCAAATGCCCTACAGCTGAAAATTGACGACAACAACAACAACAACAACCAAAAAAAACCAGTCTGTGTCTGGAAATAAAAATATTTAGTATCATTGAAAAAAAAATGTTTAATGTTTCTGATTAAGGGAAGAAGCTGGTCACGACAGTCAAATTATGGTCAGCCCTGCTGCTCACAGCGCTGCGATGTTCTCCACAGTAAGACTTTCAGAACAGCCAAGAAAAGGAGGCACCAAAGCCCTCTCCGGGGCCACTGGCTGGCTTGGGGCACAAAGGCAAAAGGGAGGTTTTTCACTGCAAAGTCTCGGGAATTCTGAGATCATGAACCACGTGGCTGCTTGGCTAGCCTCACGTCGAGAGATTCTGAACTTGCTCACAACAGCCACAGTTTTCCAACAGCCCTAAGAATTAGTAAGCTGAGAACCATAGCGATGGCATGGTAGAAAGAGTGTTTGCCTTGCACGTGGCCGACCTGGGTTCAATTCCTGGCATCCCATATGGCCCCCTGAGCACTGTCAAGAGTAAATCCTGAGTGCAGAGCCAGGAGTAACCAACCCCTAAGAACCACAGGGGGTGGCCCCCAGACAAAACAAAACAATTATAGTAAGCAGAGCAAAGATCACTAGTCTGGATTCACTACTGAGAATGCAATAGGAAGCGGCCATGGTAGTGAAGGGGTGTTGCACACTAGCTCTTCAGACTCCTAATCCAGTGCTCCCTTTCAGAAGCTCCACAATAGGAAAGACTGGCAGCCCCTAGAACTGTCCTGAATTCATTTACATGCCAAGTGGAATGAACAGACTCAGGGCAAAGGCTCAGGATCTGGCCATATATCTGGGTGTTCTGAGCCACCAGAGCAGGGCAAGTGGGGAATGACTTGGGGAGGGGGGGTGGCGCTGCCCACACATTTGTTTAGCTGCCAATCACCCAGCAACTCTGTGGGGTTTAAACTGCGTTGAAAATCAAACGTGGGGCTGGAATGATAGCACAGCCAGTAGGGCGTTTGCCTTGCACGCAGCCAACATGGCCGACCCAGGTTCGATTCCCAGCATCCCATATGGTCCCCCGAGCACCGCCAGGAGCAATTCCTGAGTGCATGAGCCAGGAGTAACCCCTGTGCAATGCTGGGTGTGACCCAAAAAGAAAAAGAAATCTATCAAATGCCTGAGTCCACACATTCTTCTTTCCAAGTGTGGCTGTGCTGTCACCAGGTTCTTTCCCTTGCAGATTCTGGGGGGGGTCCGAGATTGGAATGTTGCTGGATTCCGAAGGGTGGGCAGGTGTAAAACAGAGCACTGGGCTTAGAACCCAGCTCAAACGGGGTTCAGATTCTGCTTCTGCCTCTGACTCGTACGCAGCCTGCGGCCAGAGGCACACCACTTACTGTGGCCTTGGTTTCCTCTGGAAACAACTCAGTTTACAGAGCCTGGATCTCACATGCCCACAGTGCTGGAGGGGCCCGTGTGGGGGCAGACTGGGCTCCTGGGCCTTCCCTCTGTGCAGGGACACCAGCAGACATGCAAACTGCTATGACCTTAACACCCGAGGTAGCTTGTGGTGGGGGCGGGGGGGAGAGGGGCCGGGCAAACTGGGCAGGGCTGCGGGGGAGAACTGAATGAGGATGTCATGGTTATCCAGAGATCGGGGCCAGATGGGCAGAAAGCAGACACAAGGTCCTGGGGCAGACACGGCCCTGGCGTGCTGGATGGCCACAGGGCTGGCTAAGGAGGCTGGCTGCAGCAGGCGGGGGCCACAGAATGCTGCTCGCATTTATTTATTGCTGGAAGCAATAAAGGTTTCATTTGATTTGGGAGTGTTCAAACTTTATGGTTTTATTTTAGCTGCAAAACTCTAGTCAGAAATAAGCAGAAGCACAATATAAAACAAAGCAGAAGTGGCACTGCTGTTGGCTAAGTGAGAAGCTGGTCAGGGCCTCACTGTCCGTGTCTTATTTTTGTTTTGTTTTTGGGCAACACACAGAGTTCAGGGGTTACTCCTGGCTCTGTGCTCAGGGGTTACTCCTGGCTCTGTGCTCGGGGGTTACTCCTGGCTCTGTGCTCGGGGGACCATATTGGGTGCCAGGGATTGAACCTGGGTCGGCCACAAGCAAGGAAAGCACCCTCCCAGCTACCCTATGGCTCAGTCCTGACACTGCCTTCGTGTCTACCCTTTCCCTTGCCTTTGGACCCTCAAGCTCTGGAGTGCAGGGAAGCTGAAAAGCCAGGAGATAATCTAGCTCTGAGGCTCCTCCCGGGAAAAGAGGTTTAAGAGATAAAGCTGGACACTTGTGGGAACCAGAACAGGCCCTGGAAAGTTCTAAACAACCCCCCTGACGTGGAACAGCTTTCTGCAGAAACATGAATCTTGACTCATCCATATTTCCTGTTGGACTCACACTGCGGCACCTACAGGGAGAGAAACAGTGGTTCCCAGGGGCTGACAGGAGGACTCGGACCCCAAGAAACAGAAGAGAATTTTCTGGGTCGAGGAAGAATTCTGTACCGTAAGTGCGCTAGTGGTTACAGGTTCGTGGAGGTTTGTCAAGACTCATACAACTGCACACCTAACATGGTGGTTTCCTGTCTGCAAAGCAAACCTCATATAAATTCGAGTTTTTGAAGAAGTCCCACTGCTGGGCTGAAGGCCTTGCATGCAACCTTCCCAGTTTCCACTTCACAGCACCATAAGTAGTTCCCCAAAGCCAAAGTCAAAAAAAGAAAGAAAAATCACATTGCTAAAAGACACCTCAGAGGTACTCAGAGAAATAAGAGCAAAGAGTTCAGGGAAAGAGTCTACTCTACCCTGTAACCACCAATGCAAGCTGAGTTTTCCATTACTCTACCTGCAGGGTAAGGAGGAGAATCACTGCCTGCTCCCCCTGGCTCCCCCCCTCCAAACAACTGGATTCTAAGAGTCCCCAAAGCTTTGAGGCAAGGAAATGGCTGAGGAATGGCCCGGGGTCAGAGCCCTACGTGCCCGGTTCTGTGCCCGCGTTGGATCCGCCACCTCTGAACATCCGTCTCTTGGGGCAGGCCCACTGCCTACCGCCCCAGGAGTTGTACCACACCCACGCTGCTGTGCTGCCTCCCAAGAACAATCTGGAGGTGACCAGAAGGGAAAGAAATCACCAAGCTCCTGCCCCGCGTTGCATAACCTGCGCTCAGGGACACAGTACACCCAGGGCGGGCTCTGGGCACAGGTTGTTATCTGGCCAGGTAAACAGAAACACCCTCCCCCCTCGCCTCCCTGCCGCCCCCCCCAGCCTGCTGAGGGGGGAGCCTGGGGAACCCCCGCGGCTGGGGATTCCTCAGGGTGGCCGCCGGCACCCCCGGCCACCCCGGCCCACAAGCACAGCCCCTCCCCGTGCCACCTGCTCCAAAGGGGTGGACCTGCCCTCCGTGACTCAAAGCTGCCCGCCCCCGCCCAGCTCTTCCAGCTCCAAAACACAGGAAAACGACCAAAAAAGAAAAACCCCAACACCCTCCCCCAGCCCCCCGCCCCGATCCGGGCGGGAGTTTCCGCCGCCCTGTGTACAGTGTGCGCGCGGCCCGGCCCGGGTGCCAGAGGTCCTGTGGTCTTGGAAAGCCGGTGGCTTCGCTCTGTCCACGGCGGCGCGGGCGGGAGGCACCACCCTAAAGCGATGCCAGGGTGGCAGAAACAAAGAGCCAAGTCTCCGGGCCAAAGGCCACCCGCGGCCCCGGGGGCTGGGGGCGGGGGAGCGGCCCGGGGCCCCAGGGACTCCGGCCGCCCGCCGGCTCGGCTCCTTGAAAACAAGGAGATAACAGGAGATACACTTGCCCGCGCCGGACGGCCGGCCCGGCCGGTGCCCCGGGAGGTCTGAGGTCACGTGAGTCGGGCCGGCCCGACCCGGACCTGGCCGCGGGCGGCCGACCCCCAGGTGCGCGCGCGCGCTCGGCCCGGCCCGGGGGGCGCGCCCCCGCCGCCTCCCCGGGCCCGGCCCGCGCGGGTCCTCGCTCCCACCGTCCGGGGCGCGGGCAAGTTTTCAGTTTCCAGCCGACGCGAACGGGGGGAGGGGACGGCGGCCCGCCCCGCCGGGGAAAGTTCCACCGCCGGGTCCACAAAGAGCCGCGGGGGGCGTGGCCAGGCCGGAAACTGACAAAAAGTTGGGCCCCCCCCGCCGCCCCGGGGCCAATGCCCGCTCGGGGGGCGTCGTTTCCCGGGGGCTCCGCGCCGGGCGGCCCGAGCGCGGGGCCGAGGGGGGGTTCGGAGGGGGCGCGGTCGGGCCCCGCCGCCCTCCACCCGGGGCGCCCCCCTCCGGCGTGAGCCCGCGAGGACCCGCCCCCCACCCGCGCTCGCGCCCCCGAACCTCGCCCCGAACCCGAGGCCCGGCCTGCTCCCGCAGCGGCGGCCCGCGGGCTCGGTCCGAAGCCTCGGAGGCGGCCTGGGGCTCCCCGCGGGCCGCCTCCCCGCCCCCCACCCCGCCCCGAGAACTTTCTCGGGCCCCGCGGCGCGGGCCGGGCCTCCCACCTTGACCCGCTTGCCCTGGATGTCCAGCGTCTTCATGGTGAAGTCGACGCCGATGGTGCTGCCCTGGCGCTCCGAGAACACGCCCGTCTTGAAGCGCTGCACCACGCACGTCTTGCCCACGCTCGCGTCGCCCACCAGCACCAGCTTGAACAGGAAATCGTACTGCTCGTCCGGGTCCCCCGGGCCCGGGCCCGCCATGGCCGCGCGCGCGCGCCGAGGGCCGGCGCTCGGGACGCGGGAGGCCGCGGGGCGCGCGGAAGCCGCGGCGGCTGGCGACGTGGAAGCGGCCGCAACACCTGAAGAAGGGGCGCCGCCGCCGCCCGCCGCTCCCGGCCCCGGCCCCGCCCCGCTCGGCCCGCCGCCCCGCCCCCGGCCGGCCCGGAGCCGCCGTCTCGGCCCCGCCCCGGACTCGCGCGGTCCGGCCCTCCGCGACCCGCCAGGCCCGTCCGGCCCTGCGACGCGCCCCCGGCAGGCCCCGCCCCCGGCAGGCCCGCCCCGTGCCTGGCTCCGCCCCGGACGGGCTCCGCCCCCACGCCGCCGCTCCTGCGGGCTTCGCTCGCAGCACCGCCCTCTTCGAGACTCCGCCCCCTCCAAGCCCCGCCCTCCACACCGCCCCCGACTCGACGCCGCTCGCGATCAGACTCCGCCCCAGCTAAATCCCGCCCTCAACCCCGCCCTCGATTTGCTGAGGCCTCTGGTCAGGCTCCGCCCCCAGAGAAGCCCCGCCCTCCACACCGCCCCCGATCAGGCTCCGCCCCCAGTTAAGCCCCACCCTCCACACCGCCCCCCGATTTGACGCCGCTCCCGGCCAGGCTCCGCCCCCAGTGGAGCTTCGCCCTCAACGCCTCCCCGATTTGACGCTCGCGATGAGACTCCGCCCTCAGTCAGACCCCGCCCCAGAGCCTCCCCCTATCAGGCTTCGCCCCTGCGTCGTCCGCCTGCTGACTTCGCTCCCTGCACCGCCCTCTCTCAGACACCGGCCCCAGAAGCGTCCCTGACCGCTGCACTGCCTCGTTCTGACTCCGCCCACACGCTGTCCCGGCCAAGCCCCGCCCCCGAACACGCCCACAGCGCGGCCCTCGGCCCCGCCCTGCCGTGCGTGTCCTCCTCGCTCCCTCCGCGTCTCGACGCTCTCTCCTGGGCTCACCCCTGCATCCGCCCAGCACTTGCCACGCCCCCGCCGCCTAATTTCACCGCTCACCGAGCCTCCCCCAAACCGCTAGGCACCTCAACCTTTTACCGTTAGCTGGGGACGCTGCCGTCGCGATTCCGGATCCGGTTCCGCACCTCGGGCCCCACCCCTCTGACCTCGACGCGGAATGGTCCCCTCTAGAATGGGTCCTGGGGCAGAGGGATGCACCACCACACGGTCCAACAGCCTCTAAGAGGGTGGGTAGAGGGTAGCATTTCCGCTCTAAAGACCTCCCAAAGAGGCCAGGTAGAACCTTCGATGAGGCCAAAAGTTAAGCAAGCTACAGGTCTGGGAGGCCAGTCTTTGTGGGATGGGGGTCAGAAGGGACATCCCGGGACTCTGGGGAGAGGGGAAATAGGGAATCCCATTTGGTGGGGGGCTAAGCCAGAAGTGGGGAGATCCCAACCCCAAACGACAGCCTCATGGTGGTTAAAACTGTTGCCAAGCGGCTCTCGAAGGGCTGACTCAGTTGGGATAATGGTTCCAATTGGAGAAACTAACACAGTGGGAAAGCAACAAGAGTGGCCCGGATTGGAGGAACAAAGGCGGTTTCCTGGAAGTTCTGTGGGAGGGCAGACAGACTAGCTCCGGACATGACCCAGTGAACCAGGGGTCCTCAGAGAAATAAGACCCAACTGTTTACAAGCCTTAAAGGGATTGAAAAACAAGCAATAAAACAACCTAATTCTCAGAGAGATAGAGAGCTGGCAGGATGGAAGGGAATTGCTATACCCCTCACCTGTCATCAAGGGGCCCCAGCACCCTGACTCTACTGAATTCAGCCTATTTGAAGAACACTTCTATGATGGGTCCAATATTGTTCTGGGCATTGGAATGTATCCATGAGAAAAGCAAAGATCCAGACCCTTCCAGGGGAAAGAGGAAGCAGGTCTTCCTAGAGCTGAAGGAGGCCACACCGGCACATACTTCGGGCTTGGCCCCCTGAAAGCCCCCAATCAGTCTTGATGGTCAAGTAGGAATCAAGTAGATGGACAAGAAGGTAAAGGCAGAGGCTGGACTATAGTACAGCAGGTTGGGCACTTGCCTTGACACAGCCAACCTGGGCACCCAATATGGTCCCCTAAACCCCGCCAGGAGTGATCCCTGAGTGTAGAGCCAGGAGTTAGTCCCGAGCACCACTGCCAGGTATAATCCCAGAACAAAGAAGGCCAAGGCACACCCATGGAGAAGGCAGATGTTATTTATTCTGGAATGGTTTGAACTCCACTCCCACAGGAAACACACTGAAGTCCCAGACAGGAAACCCCAAAGTGCCATGGAAAAGCCATTCTAGGAGCCAGGTTTTGGCACCTGGGTCCTAAGCAGACAACTAGAGTGGCAGGAAGTGGTGTCCATTTCAAGGCAGAAATACTGAGAGTACTTGAGTCCTAGTACCTACTGGATGGCTGTGGGAAATGGGCATGTCCAAGGCCAAGACCCCAGAAGAGCCCTTGCCTGCAGCACCAGGCGGCAGGAAGGGGCAGGGGAAAGAGAGAAGTTCAGAACAAAGAGTCCATGCAGAGGCGTGGGGAGAGGAGAGAGGGGTGCCCACCGCCCCAGTGGCAGGACAGCTGATCTGCCTGGCCAAGAGGGCCTTGGAGTGTGTTGGGGAGCAGAGCGGCTCTCTGGGATTTTACCACTTGCCTCTGTGGGGTGTTGGAAACACGAAAACTGGACAATCAGGAGGGTTGCTCAATAGGAAAAAAAAAGCCCTGAGACCACACACCCGTTACAATGGGTAGATTTTATGGTGTGTAATTATACCTCAATAAAGCCGCTTAAAAAAACACCCGCATGCCTCTCCTTGGGAGGTAAATTTCTTAATACCAAAGTGATATTTTTGGTTTTGTCTTTCAGTGCTTGTTCTGGGGCCACAGCCAGCAATGCTGGAGACCCCAGGGGAAGGGGGGTCTACTCCCAGCTTGGTGCTCAAGGATTTCTCCCGGTGATGCTAGGGATCAAACCAGGGCTCCCATATGCAAAGCAGGCCCTCCAGCCCTTTTATCTGCCCCTACCCTACAGTGGCACTTTATCTGAAACAATTCACAAAATGTTCTCTCAACACCCCAAATTAAAACACATCCCACAACTCTAGAAATTGTACTAGAACTTAAGTGTTTCTTATTTTTTGAACCATACCTAGTGCTGTTCAGAATCAAGCCTGGGGCTCCAGCATGCACAGCATGGGGTACAGTCCTTTGAGACAGCCCGCAAATGTACCAGTCTTGAAGCAGATGGACACTTTCATCTGTTCATGCTGTCACCACACAGGGGCGCCACCTACACCATACTGGATGCAGTTGCAGGAAATGGGGTTCATGGACCCTGCTTACAAGGACAAGGATGGGTGCCTGATGGCAGACAGATAGACAGTATAGTTGGGGGGGGGGGGGCGGGCATTTGCCTTGTACGCTTGCATGTGGCCGATCTGGGTTCAATTCCTCCACCCCTCTCGGAGAGCCTGGCGAGCTACAGAGAATATCTCACCCGCATAGCAAGGCCTGGCAAGCTACCTGTGATGTATTCGATATGCCAAAAACAGTAACAAGTCTCACAATTTGTTGAGATGTTACTGGTGCCTGAAACGCAAATGGATGAACAATGGGAGGGCAGTGCAGTGCAGTGCAGCGCAGCCAACCCAGGTTCGATCCCTGACATCCCTTATGGTCCGCTGGGCACTGCCAGGAGTAATCCTGAAAGACAGGAGCAACCCTTGAGCATCCTCAATGTGACCCAAAAAGCTAAAAGGAAAAAAAAGAAAAGAAATGCATTCCCTTTAGCAACATCCTTTGAATTCCCTTTATTAGGGATGTCCAGGCTCGAGATGCAAATGGGCCTCAGGCAGGGATAAAGATGACAGTGGCTGGAAAGACAGTAGTAGGGGGAGGGCTCTTGTCTTGCATGCTGCCGACCTGGGTTCAATCCCCCCATCCCACATGCCCCGCCTCCCGCAAGCACAGCAAGAAGCTTGAGAGAAGGCCAGGGGTGTGCCCTGAGAACAGCCGGGCCTGGTCCCAAACCAAACCAAAACCAAACCCTTCAGCAATGGGACTGGAACCTTCAGGAACAGCTATGACCCAAGCCCCATTTCAGCTCCCCACCATCAGCTGGGCCCTTCACAGAATGCTCCAGCTCCCCCAGAGAGGCCTCGGGAGTTGGACATACCCCCACTTCTGAGTGGGCACGGAGAGAAGCAGGAAGTATCCACGCCCAGAAAGGCTGGGGTGGGTCAGCAGACAAGAGAGTGCTGTGGCATCTGGTGAAGTTGGAGGGAAGCAGGGCCACGGTTGGCGTCCCCGTCAGTGGGCCCACCTTGTGGTCATTGGGAGGGGTGGCGGTGGGGAAGCCCCACATCGCCTCTTCTCTCGGGGCTTTGCGAGAAAGCAGTGAGACGCTGTGGCCCTTCTCGGTGGGACAGGAATCAACACTAGCCCTTTGCCTCCCTGGTTTTCTTTGCAGCCTGGATGGAGGGTCCCGGAAGGACAAGAAAAGTTTTCATTTCTCCCTGGGTTAGAAATTGCTCAAGATCGCCCCAGAATGTAAAAAACACTCATTCAAAAGGACACAGGCACACCACCGCTCATTGCTGCATGCAGGGCAATAGCTAAGATACGGAATCAATGTAGGCGTCCACGCACAGATGAACGGGCTATGAAGATGGGACACACATGCACATGGGATACTCTGCAGCGGGAAAAACGAGATCACGCAATTGCTGCACCCCAGTTGGAGCTGGAAGCGATCACATTGCATGAAGTAAGCCAAAGGAAGAAACACAAACACAGGATGGTCTCACTTATCTGGAATGCTGAATACTAGATGAGGAAATGTCCTGTGGTAAAAGGCGGGATGCCTAGGTCACCCCTGACTCCAGTGTTCAGAGAGGACAGAGAAGGAACGAAATCAAGGGGCAGGGGAGAAGAGAAAGGGAAGTAATGGGTGCGCAGGCATCAGGGCTTCCGTTATGCTGGTGATGTGGGTGAGAGGTACAGCCTCCACACACTCAGCGGCACTGAAAACATGACACCTAAGCCGACAACCCTTAGAACTTTGTAATGTGCCTGTCAAGGTGACAGTAGGGGGTGGGACAGGGTTCGGGGGTGGGGAGGGAATTGGGAACATGGTGGGGGGAAGTTGACACTTGTGATGGGATTGGTACAGAAATACATGCCTACAACTCCAATTATCAATAACTTCATAAATCACAAAGTTTATATGCCTTTTAGGTTATAAGAAAAATTTAAAAAAAGACTTGCTCAAGAGCAACAGATGGAGGCAGAGGCAGAGTACAGGGCTTGAGGATATGGGGGTGCTGAGTACAGGGGCCTGGGGACACGGGAGGGCATTCAGAGCTCCGTGGGGCTGGGGGCCCTTGAGGGAGTCGTGCAGTGCCGTCTATTAGTGGGGGATCACTGGAGCTGCCTGCCTCCAGGCAAACGCTTTGCCCCACAGTCACTTTCTGCTCCCTGGCCCGGGAACCTGGGAGCAAGATGTCAGCAGTTTTAGAAACAAGAGGATAGTGGTGGAAGGGAGGGCCGGGCAGAGGCCTGGGGAGAGGCCGGGGTGTGTCTCTGTGGTGGATCCCTCGTCTCTGCATTGATGACAAGGGTGCCACTTTGGAAATGGGGCAAAGCCCAAGCTCAAGTAATCCACGACACAACTTGCCAACCCAATGCTGTGGAGCCTGGTTCTGTGCCCTCCGAGCAAGGGACGCAGCTGCCAAGCCAGTCCCAACTGTCTAGGGCAGGTTATGAGCCCCTCCCAAGAGGCCTGGACCCCCAGCCTGCTGGACAGGAGGACACTGCTTGGCCAGGACATGCTGCCCACCCCGGGAGCTGCCACCATGAGACCTCGGGTGGGCGTTAGGAGTGACGGAGGGGAGAGGGAGAGAGACAGAGAGGAAGAAAGGCTGCAACCAAGCCCATGGGGTGGGGACCTCGTCTCTAATGGGCCAGGCTGTGAGGAGCCCCTTGAGCCCCTGCCCAGACCTCAGGGCCCTCCCTATGAGCCCTTAACTGCAATGTGGGTGACGGAGCTGGGTAGCACAGGCACCCCCGCCACGTCCCTGCCAGGATCCAGACCCCCACTATGTGCAGAGCGCCCCAGGAACCAGGCACAGACAGGGGCTTCTCTTTCGTATAAAAACTTTTAATAAAAACAGCTCTGCAGTTCCAGATAGCCAACGGGAAGCAGAGTGGGTCCCTGCGGGCTGGCAGTGGCGTGAGGCGGCCGCGCCAGGGCCCACTCAGAGGCTGCCGACCCCGGCAGGGGCTCCTGCCGGCTTCTGTGGCAGCTTCTCGCCTACCTGCCTTGTCTGGGCGAGGCCAGGCCCTGCGCGCCCTTCCCGCCCCTGTCCCATACCCCTTTAGTCTGCACGTCCAAGGAGGGACAAATAGGTCTCGTTGGGAAAAACAGCTCTGAGATAAACGTCACTGATTTCCCCCTCCCCACCAAACCACGGCACCAGGCTGGACCCTCACTGGCCCCCAGCCAGCTGCCCTCGGCCCAAGCCACAGTGTCAAAGAGCCGCCAATGCTTGTGTGGGGAGGAGATGGCGAGACTGCCACACAGGCCTGGGGGTGCGGAGGGAGGAAAGGCGCCCGGCGCCGGGCTCCAGCGGGCACCAGCCCCATGTGCAGCCCCACGCAGCAGAGCCCAGTTGACCTGCGGGCCTGGCCTGGCCCTAGTACCCCAGGAGCTTCTTGGCCTCCTCACTCTGGGCCTGCAGGGTCTCGCTGGCGTACTTCCGCAGGAGCTCCATCTTCTTCCTGCGCACCAGCGCCTCCTCGATCTGCCGGAGCAAGAGCAGAGCGTCAGGCTTGCCCTGAGCTCGGCGCCCAGGCCCCGCCAGGTCCCCAGAAGGGGGATCCCTAGGAGGAAAGGCTGCGGGACGGAGACACGGTACCAGGGCAGCCTCCCACCGAGCTCCGCGGCAGAGCAGGCCGTCAGACAGACAGACAGACAGACAGACAGACAGACAAGGCCGCCTACCTCCTGCTGAGACGGCACCGGCACGTGAGCAATGAACTTCTGCGGGCCGCCCTCCCCTCCTTTCTCCTGGCTGCTCTCCTCGTCCGACTGCAGAGAGAAGAGCCAGGCCTGAGTCAGAGCTGCCGCCCACGCACTGCCGTGGCCCCGAGGGGGACGGCGAATGGGGGACAGATCCGGGCAGGGGCATGGCAGGGCGAGTGGAATGGAGGGCAGCCGGCACTGAGACTAGAAGCAAGAGGGGGTGGTCGGAGGGCACCCAGCCCTGCACCCCGAGACGTAGCGCCCGAGTGACAGTACCGCGGACGGGGCACTTGCCTGGCTTGAGGCCAACCTGGGTTCTATACCTGTCACCCACACAGTCCCCCATCTCCCACTGGGATTGACTCTGAAGGACAGAGCCCAGAAGAAGCCCTAAGCACCACCAGGTGTGGCTAGAGAACAAGAAAGAGCCTTAGAAACAATCGTCCTGTCGCTGAGGGTGGAGGTGAAGCCACACGCGGTAATGTGCAGGGATTCGTCCCGATGGGCTCGGGGGGCCATATGGGGTATCGGGGTTTGAACCCAGCCATGTGCCTGGCAAGCGCCCTCCCTGCCATGCCACAGCTCGGACCCCAAAGACACTTTGCCCTGTATGGAATTCTTGGGGAGCAGAGAGGACTCAAAGGGCCGAGAGCAGGCTTTGCACAGGGAGGCCGGCTGCAACCCCAGCACTGTCAGAAGCAACTCCCCGGGTGCAGCCCCAAATCGTAACCAAACCACTGAAAGGAACTCCTCGACAAGCATCGAGGGAGCACTGTGCGGGCCCAGCCACTTTGAGGCGATTGGGGCACTCCATGCCGCCCAAAGCACACACGTGGGGTCCGCCAGGGCGGGAAAACAGTCCAGAGCTCTGCGTTCATTACACCCTGTCCCCTGCCTGGCCTTGAGGTCACGGTCACTGAGAAAAGAGGTGGAAGAAATCGGACAGAGGATATGCAGGAGCCCTGGCAGCTTCCTGGAAATCGGGACCAATTTCAACCGCCAGGGCACGGGGCAGTGGGTGTGGTCGGGGCAGAGCATTGTCTGACCAGTGAGGCCCCCTGTTGAATCCTGAAGCCAGAAATGGGGGAAGACCCCAAATCAAAAAGCACAAAGGAAGCCGCCAGCCTTCCACTGCTCGTACGTGGGAGGGCAACCCCCATCAGCATAGCCGGGGCCCACCTCGGGGTGTCCGCCCCCCCAGCTCCTCTCACACCAGAGTCCCCGGCATGGCCTGTAACACGCCTTCCCTGAGTCAGTGGCCCCATTCCCACCTTCCCAGGGGTTCGGGGCCCTGCAGTGGGCCCCGGCCTGCGGCTAGGAGCTGAGTGCCATTGCCCGGGCTCCTGACCCGACTCTGAGCTAGAGCCGGGCTGCTCTGGATCGGGTTCAGGGCCAGCACTCCGGAAACGGAGCAGAGGATGGCCCGTACTTCGAGGCAAGCCTCTCACGGTGCTTCCACCTTGCCCAGTGTTCCCTGTCCCAGTGTGCGGGCCAGACCTGAACAGGCAGCGCTGGAGACACTGAGTCACTTGGCTCTGAGGACACAAACCCGCCCCATCGTCTGTCCAGGGAAGGCGCTTCTCTCCCTCTCTGCCCGGGCCCTGCCCACCCAGCGAGACGGGAGGCACCTGCCCCGACTCTCTTCGTCTCTACTCTGGGCTCGTTTCCCCCGAGGTCAGGAGCCGTCGGACTACAGGAAAGGCCGAGGGGCAGAACAACACAGGGTTAGCACACGAGAGCCCTGGGTTCAATCCCCAGCACCACATGGGCTCCTGAGCAGGACCAGGAGCAGCAGCCCCTGACCAACGAGCCAGGGGGACCCCAGAACCACCAGGTGTAGCCCCAAAGTAAACCAAGAAAGAAAGATCACGGCATTTCCCTTCATGCAGCTAACCCTGATTTCAATGTGGTCCTCTGAGCACAGACCCAGGAGTAAGTTCTGAGCAAGACTGGGTATGTCTCAAAAAAACAAAACAAAACAAAACAAAACAAAACAAAACAAAACAAAACAGTATGTATGGGGGCAGAGGGATAGCAGAGCTGAAAGGCGCTTGCCTGGCAAGTGGATGACCCAGGTTGAATCCCCAGCACTCCATATGATCACCTGAGCCTCACCAAGAGTAATTCCTGAGTGTGGGGCCAGAAGCAAACCCAGAGCATCATCGGGGATGCCCCCCGACCCACCCAATAAGTATGGCCTCGAATGTGTTTATCTCTGCAGTGTGTGGGCTGGGGTACATGCTCTGCATGGGGGAGGCCTGCACCCCATCATCGCCCAAGCACTGCCAGGAGCACTGAGCTAGGAGTGGAGCAGGGACCAGCACCCCAGGTATGACCCCACAGACAAACCCCCCCTGCAGGGTACCCAGGGGAGCCAGTTCTGAGCAGCCAGGAAGGCCTGAGTCACTCCATCCTGGGCCTCCCTGTGCTCCTCGAGCTGCTCCCCACGCCCTGCTTCTGCGAGAAGGTCCCGGCCTGGCCGCAGGCCTGACCCGTGTCTGCATGCCCGGCCCCTCCCGACTCCTCCTGGGTTCTCCCAGGCCAGTACCTCCTCCTCGGTCACAGCATAGATGTTGATCTCTTCCTCCTCCTCCTCCTCCTCTTCCTTTTCTCCTCGCGCCAGCCGGGCCTCTCGCTCCGCTCTCCACTTCTCTGCTAAGCTGGCTCTGACTGAAGACGAAGCAGAGACAGGCACTGTTCAGGCTGCTCGCAGAATAAGCTTCTGGCTTCTACTCTTTTGGTTTTTGGGCCACACCTGGCGGTGCTCAGGGAACCACATAAGACGCTGGGGATTGGACCCAGGTTGGCTGTGCACAAGGCAAATGCCCTCTCCACTGTTCTATCACTCTGGGCCAGAAGCATTTTCTTGATGTCCATTTGGTTTGCCTGGTGTGAGTTTTGACCTTTGGGCCACAACCAGCAGTGCTGAGGGCTGACTCCTGGCTCTGCACTCAGGGCTCACTCCTGGCAGGCTCAGGGGGCCACATGAGGTGCTGGGAATTAAACCAGGGTCAGCTGCATGGAAGGCAAGTGCCTACCCTCTGTACTCAGCCCCTTCAAATGCACTTCAGACTCAGTGCAGGGCAAGGGTGACTGTCCTCCCTGAAACGTCAGGGCACCCCTGCTTTTGCCCTGGAGTGCAGATCTCTCGTGGGAGGGACGCCGCTCTGAACAGCACTTAGCCTCCAGCTCAACAAGTCACGTAGCTTCCATCATGGCCCATGCAGACGGAGACACAGTGGCACCGTGAGTGGCAGAGTGCTCAGAGACTCGACGAACAAGTGCTCCCAAAGCCCGTCGAGAAGAGCTGAGTGTGGCACCGGATGGGCAGAGGCACAGAGAGACATCCGTCAGCTCCAGGCTGACATGCCGGCTGTGCTGCATGGAAGCCTGTGGAAAGTGGAGCATTTTCCAACTCCGAGAAAGGTCTAAGAGCCGGAGGACAGCACCGCAGAGCGAGTAGAGCACTTGCTTTACACACAGCTGACCCGGGTTTGATCCGCAACATCCCATACAATTCCCGAACCTGCCAGGAGTTAGCCCTGAGCTAGGCAGGTCCCCAAACGAAATAAAAAGGGTGTCTGTAAAGAAATCTAGACAACGAGCGGCCCAGGCCTCCCACTATCCATGCACTATCCCTACGGCTCCCCAGTCTGCTGCTTCTCACCCGGCATGGTCCTGACCGCCTCATGGCTGGAGGGATGGGGACAGGGCTAGGTCATTAGCAGGCCACTTCCCCTGGAAACTGCCAGTAACACAGACCGCCGTCTGGTATAAGGCACTCAAAAAAACATACTTTCAGGGGTCTGAAATGACAGGACAGCGGGAAGGGTGCTTGCCTTGCATGCGGACAACCCTGATTCTATCCCCAGCACCCCAAACCCCAAGAGATGCTGAGAGTGATTCCTGAATGCACGGCCAGGAGTAACCCCTGAGCATCTCCAGGTGTGTTCCCAACCCTCCCCCCAAAACTACACTTTCAGGGGCCAGAGACAATACAACAGTTAGGGCCTTGCCTTGCATGCGGCCGACAAGGTCCAATCCCAACACCATTATGGTCCCTCCCCAACAGCGCTGCCAGGAGTGATTCCTGTGCAGAGCAGGGTGGAAGCCCGGAGCACAGCAGGGCGCATCCCCCAAACAAAACGGCCATGCTTCTCAGAGAGAACAGAAAGCCGGTGTCAACGCAATCCAACAAAATGCTCCCACTTACATTTTTTCTCGTATTCTTGCTCCAGAGGCACAATAACGCCATCGTCTTCATCGAGGTACCCGTAGTATTCAAAGTCGATCGCCTTCATGAGCTCGGCACGGGTCTTTCTCGGGGGAGGAAGAGCTAAAAGAAGGAGCATTGACTAAGCAGGGCTTCCTCTCACCCCAATACTAGTTTCAAGGTCAGGAGGGCATGGCTCTCTCCCAGCTCAGATTAGAGGCACACCTTTGCTTACTTGGCTTCAGTTTATTTTGGTTTGCAGATGTCTGAGCATTCCAATCAGGCACCAGAGAGCTTGCTCAGGGGTTAAAGCACTTGCCCTGCAAGCTGCTGATGAAGGTATTGTTTGCTTGCCTATCTGTTTGGGGGGGGGGGGTCCCACATCCAGGTATTGAGGGCTGACTCAATGCTCTGAGCTCAGGAATCACTCTTGATGGTGTTTGGGGGACCCTAGGTGATGCTGGCTACCAAAACAGGGTCAGCTGTGGGCAGGGCAATCGCCTTAATCCCTGTAATTTGTCTCCAGCTCCAAGGTATTTTTTGGTGGTACTGGGGATTGAACCCAGGTCGCCAAATTCACGGCCAATATTCTACTATTAAATTACATCCCGGGTCCCATAAAAAAGAGCCAGTGAGACAGCAGAGGAGCTAAGGCACTGGTCTTAGACGCAACTGACCCTGATTCAATTCCCGGCACCACATGTGGTCTTGACCCAAACCCATCACCTCCACATTTATAAATAAAAGGAAAGAATAAAAGCTTATAATTTATGAAGGAAAAAATTCCAGGGCCAAAAACATTGTATAGGCACTAAGGTGTCTTGCAGTACTGTTATTAACCCTATCATTAACAGTGCTCAAGAATGCTTGCTTTGCATTCAATTGACCTAGGTTGATCCCCACGCGACCGACCCAAGTTCGATTCCTCTGCCCCTCTCGGAGAGCCCGGCAAGCTACCGAGAATATCTCGCACGCACGGCAGAGCTTGGCAAGCTACCCGTGACATATTCGATATGCCAAACACAGTAATAAGAAGTCTCACGAAGGAGACGTTACTGGGCCCGCTGAGCAAATCGAGGTTTGATCCCTGGCACCCCAGACAATTCTCAGAGCCTGCCAGAAGTGATCCCCGAGTTGCAAAGCCAGAAGCAAGCCTTGAGCACAACTGGGTGTGGGTCCAGAACCAAAAACAGTCAAAAACCCCCAAACCAACTAAACAATAATAAAACAAACAACAAAAAAATCCAGACTGGAACTGGATCTTAAAACGGGGGGCCAGAGCAAAAGTACAGTGGGAAGGGCGTTTGCCTTGCACACCGCCAACCTGGGTTTGATCCCCGGCATCCCATATAGTCCCCCAAGCACTGCCAGGAGTAATTCCTGAGTGCAAAGCCAGGAGCGAATCCCAAGCATTCCTGGGTGTGACCCAAAAAGCAAAAGCAAAAGCAAAAAAAAAAAAAAAAGACACAACCCTCTATGACTGAAATTAAAAATAAATTTGGAAAAAGTATAGATGCAAACAAAAACCAACATATGTAGCATTTATAACAAAACCCACCTTCCAAGTTCCTACCCCACAGCCACTTAGAAACTGGAAGGTTGGGGGTTGTGGGTGGGGACAGGACGCTAACACTACAGTGGAAGAAAGCGGACCCTGGTGGAGGTGCTAGAATACTCGACACATGACACCCATCATGTGTACTGCACATCACAGCACCTAATTTGAGTTTTTCTTTCTTCTGGGTCACAACTGGCGGTGCTCAGGGCTGATCTCACTCTGGACTCAAGAGATCACCGCTGGGGGTATGCCGAAGACATATGGGGTGACAGGGAGCGAATCCAGGTCTGACGCGTGCAAGGCAAGTGCCCTACATACTATGTGTGATACTGCTCCCGCCCAGAAGGAATTTTTTAAACCTACAAAACAGTGGAGGGTGATTATGGAGAGAGTCAACCCTGGCTCTCTGGAATACACTGACCCCCCCAACACCACAGGGAGTGAGCACGGCCAGGTGTGTTCCAACACCCCTCCCCCCAACTGATTAAAAATACAAAGGAAGGAAATTGGAAGGAAACAGGGCCTAACATGCTCACGTGTCAACAGGCATCATCTCAAGGCTAGGACAACGTGGGTGGGTTTCTGTCCCATATTTTACAACTTCCATGTAATAAAACCATACTGCTTTCACAAGATATATATGTATATGTATTTATTTTGTTTAGGAGCCTCACCCAGTGATGCTCAGGGTTACTCCTAGCTCTGCACTCAGGAGATGCCAGGGATTGAACCTGGTCAGCAGCATGCGAGGCAAATGCCTTTCCCCCGCTGTACTGTCTCATCAAGGTATATTTTAAACTTTTTCTTTTTTTTTTGGTCCATACCCCCATAGTGCTCAGGGGTTACTCCTGGCTCTGCACTCAGGAATTACTCCTAGTAGTGTAGGGGGACCCTATGGGATGCCAAGGATTAAATCCAAGTTGGCTGGGTACAAGGCAAGCGCCTTGCCAACCGTACTTATCACTCTAGCCCCAATATGGTTTTAGTTTTTTTTCCTTTTGGGGTCATACCTGATGATGCTCAGGGGTTACTCCTGGTTCTGTGCTCAGGAATTACCTCTAGTGGTACTCGAGGGACCACATGGGATGCCAGGCATCGAACCTGGGCTGGTCACATGCAAGGCAAATGCCTTACCTGCTGTACTACTGCTCCGGCCCCCAAATATGTTTTAACTCTTAATTATTTTAACCATTGTTAACAACACAAGCCTAGTCTGTCTGGCATAACAAACTTAAAACTAAGCAGGGAGGTGGATGGGAGGGAAACTGGGGATATTAGTGCTAGGAAATTACACTGGTGGAGGGGTGGGTGTTGGAACATCGTATGACTGAAACCCAATCATGAACAGCTTTGTATCTCACAGTGATTCAATAAAATAAAAAATTATTAAAAAATAATAAAGTATTTACAGATTTTTGCTTTAAAAAACAATAATGGGGCTGGAGCAATAGCACAGTGGGTAGGGCATTTGCCTTGCACATGGCCAACCTGGGTTCGATCCCCAGCATCCCATATGGTCCCCGAAGTACCTCCAGGAATAATTCCTGAGTGCAGAACCAGGAATAACCCCTGAGCATTGCTGAGTGTGACCCAAAAAGCAAAAATAAATAAATAAAAATTAAAAATAATAATAATAAAAATAAAAAATACCTAAAAATAAGCAGGGAGGGTAGGAAGGGAGCTGGAACAGCAGTTGAGCAGGCAGGGCACTTGTCTTGCACAAGGCGGACCTAGGCTCCATCCCTGACACCAAATATGGTCCTGCCATGAGTGATTCGTGAGTGCAGAGCCAGGAGTAAGCCCTGAGCGCAGGAATGGAGGGAGGAAGGGACAGAGGGATGGGAGGAGGCAAGAAGGAAGGACACAGAAGGAATGCCTAGTATGGAGCACATCTACAGTAGAATGCTTACTGTACAGACATAACTGATGCCTTCACAGACTTCACAGACCGTAGTCACTTACGTTCTTTTTCAAATAGCTCTCTAACGCCAGGCAGATCTTTTGCTGCACCAAAGTACTTGTAGCCTCGATTTCCTGGGACTTCTCTGCCTTCATGATCCAGCATTTTAGGGCCAACTTTCTTATTGGGAAGGAAAAAGACCAAATAAATCTGAGCCTTAAACTCTTTCCAGATTGCAAATGTCTTTTTCTTTTTTTGTAGGGGGGTGAGGCGGCTACACCCAGGTGGCGATGCTCAGGAGTTACTGCTGGCTCTGCACTCGGGACTTACTCCTGGCAGGGTTCAGGGGACCATATGGGATGCCGGGGATGGAATCCAGGTCAGTCGTGTGCAAGGCAAAATGCCCTCCCCACTGTACTATTGCTCTGGTGGCTGCAAAATGATTTAAAGACAATAATGCTAAACGTGGAAAATATTTTTTATGTACTGTTTTGTCGATCACTTAGAAAAATGAACATAGGGGGAGCCGAAGGGAGTTCAGGAGGCTAACGCGTACGCTCTGCACCAGGCCTGGCTTGGGTCCTGGACAGCAGGATCCCGAGGACGACCAGAAGTGACCTGAGCACTGAGCCCGAGCATTGGTGTAGCCCAAAAATAAACAAAAAACAAAACTGAGGACCAGTGATGTGGCTCAAAGATAAAGCACATACCATCCATTCACACAACCTGGTCCAATCCAACTACACAATAACAAAAATATTTAAATACTTAACAAGAGGATCTGTCACTGTCCTCCCATTGTTCATCGATTTGCTCGAGCAGGCCCAGTAACGTCTCCATTTTGAGACTTGTCGTTACTGTGTTTGGCATATTGAATACGTCACAGGTAGCTTGCCAGGCTTTGCCATGTGGGCACGATACTCTCAGTAGCTTGCCGGGCTCTCTGAGAGGGGCGGAGAAATCGAACCTGGCTCAGCTGGGCTGGCTGCGCGCAAGGCAAACACCCTACCGCTCTGCTATCACTCCAGCCCTAACAAGAGGATGATTTAACTAACTCATAAGTATAGTCAGAGATGTGATTTAATCTTTTTTCCCCCACCCCACGATATATTCTTTAACAATGAAACGACTGGGGCCAAAAAGGTAGTACAGCGGGTAGGGCGCTGGCTTGAGCAGGGTCAGATTCCAACAACCCATATGTTGGATTAAATGCTCCATTTGGTCCCTGACCCCCACCAAAAGGAGTAGACCCCAAACACCGAGTATAATCCCAAACCCAGAAAGAAAACAAAAGCTTACAAATAATGACAAATAAATAAAATATGCCTTTTAAAAAATTACAGGCAACCTAAATGACAAGAAGTCGAAGACAAATGAAATACACACGAAGGATGAAATTCTAGTCATGAAAATGAAGATCTCAGTGGCCAGAGAGATAGAAGAGCGGGCAGCATGCATGTCTTGCACACAGCAGACCTGGGTTCAATTCCCAGCACCCCACAGGGTCACCTGAGCCCTGGCAGGAGTGAGCCCTGAGCACAGAACCAGGAGTAAGCAGAGAGAAGTGGGGGTGGGGGGAGAGGGAGGGAGAGAGAGAGACTGTCAGTAGAGAGTAAAGCTGGTGCTTCACATACACGAGACCTGGGTCTGAGACCTGGCATACTCCCCTCCAAATATTTAAAACTCAGAATGACATCAGGCCAGAGAGAAAGTCCAGCAAGTACAGACTACCTTGCACACAGCAGACCCAGGCCCAAATCCCCAGCACTCCACAGGGTCGCCCAAGTATGCAGATGTGACCCCGAGCACAGAGCCAGGAGTAAACTCGACTCAAGACCCCTGCCAAAAAATAGCACTGTAGCACTGTCCTCCCATTGTTCATCGATTTGCTCGAGTGGGCCCAGTAACGTCTCCATTGTGAGACTTGTTACTGTGTTTGGCATATCAAATATGTCACAGGTAGCTAAGACAAAAATTCTGTCAACAACTAATGTATTATGTGACCCTGGTCAAGATCCCACACTAGACAGGAAAATACTGTAAGAGTATCACTAAGAAAAAACTAGTGAATAGCTAATCAGACAAAATTAGTCCACCGAAGCTAAGGGTCGGGGCGGGAGCTGGAGCAAAGGGCTGAGCACAGGCTCCACATGGGGAGGCCCAGGACTGGCCCTGCACCACAGGTGCCGCTGAGGGAGGCCAGAACTGACCCTGGCATCACGTGTTTCTCGAGCACTGCTGAGCACAACCCTTCAGCACCAAGCTGAGCAGTCCCTGGTGTAGGCTGAAGACCAGATAATTCAACATATAATGCCATACAACCCACACATGTGTGTTTTCATCTGTTATCGTGAACATGTATTTCCAGGGATTAGCCCAGAGCCTGAAACACGTGAGGCACATCTGCTCCATCCTCTCCACCGTTCTTTTCACCTTGCAAAACTGAAACTCGAGGGGTGGAAGTTGTTGCTCTGGGTAAAAACCAGGTTTCGCATGTTCAATCCCCAGCACCCCAAAGAACCTGAAACTCGAAACTCAGTGACTTAAGTTTTCTTTTGTCTTTTTGTGGCCACACCTGGCAGTGGTCAGGGGCCCTGTCCCAGCTGTGTCTGGGAAACACTGCAGTTCCAGGGCTTGACACTCTGGCTCCCCAAATACAAAGTGTGTGCCCCAGAGCTTTCAACCAGGTTCCACTGGGGAGGGCCCAAGACTCCCACCTCAGTCGGTGCTCGGGGTTACTCCTGGCTCTGCACTCAGGAATCACTCCTGCAGGATGGGGCGGGGAGAGGGAGGGGGCACATGGGGCGTCGGGGATTGAATCCAGGTTGGCTGCGTGATAGACAAGTGCCCTAGCCACAGTAAGATCACTCTGGACCCAAAACCTCAGAATATTTTATATTTTCATTTTGTAATGCCTCTAGGTCACATTCTGGGGCAAGTAAACATCTGTATTACATGAAAGCAGTATGATGGGAAACAAACCCACTGTTACCCCAGAAATGTGGAAACGGAGCATCCAGAGCACAGTGACTGCAGACTCAAGAGGGGTCTAAGAAAGGAGGGGGGGCTGGAGTGATAGCACAGTGGGTAGGGCGTTTGCCTTGCACGTGGCCGACCCGGGTTCGATTCCCAGCATCCCATAAGGTCCCCTGAGCACCGCCAGAGGCAATTCCTGAGCGCAGAGTCAGGAGTAACCCCTGTGCATTGCCAGGTGTGACCCAAAGAGCAAAAAACAAAAAATGAAACAAAACAAAAAAAAAACACAAAGGAGGAGAGGGCCGAGGCGACACTGCAGTGAGGAGGAAGCTTGCCTTGCACACGGCTGACCTGGGTTCGATCCCCAGCATCCCATATGGTCCCCCTAACTATCGTCAGTAATATGTTCTAAGTGTAGAATGAAGTGTAATCCTTCAGCATTTGTCGGGTGTGGCTGCCAAATCAAAATAAAACAAGACAGTTGCCTGTTTAAAAAAAAAAATCCTCCCCTTGATACAGGGCACCACACAGTCCCCCAAGAAACAGGGGGACCCGAGCGCTGCTTGCCTGGACAGAACAGCATGGCCGGCCCAAGTGTGAAACCATCTGCACCGCCCAGCTGGGAACGGTCCCCTGAGCACCCCAGGACAGACCATAAGTCAAAACATCAACAACAATTGCTCTAGTTCTCAGAGCTCAGAGAAGGTTGTGAGGGGTTGAGGTTCTGCATACAAGACGTTCCGAGACCAAGCGGCCTCCTCAAACCTCAGGTCATCTACACGGCACCCCGTCTGCTCTGCAGCCAGTGCTCTGGGCCGCTCGGCTTTAACCCTACCCACCACATTTTCGGTTTTTCTCTCTGCATGCTAAACGCGCATCTCCAGGCTTTTTCCATTTCGCAAAGGCTGCAGTGAACGCAGACTTGTATGGGACTGACCCGTTTTCCCCAAAGCTCATGAGCTCACCTCAGCGCCCCCGAGTCGCTGCATACTTACTCCGTAATCAGGGCCCCCCAGCTCCTTGATCCGGACCTCCCAGTGGCCTTTCTCTCTTAGCAGTTTGTTGATTTCATCGTTTAGGTCACGAATCCGGAATTCGCCCAAACCAGCTAGAAAACAAAAACGGGATATGATTTCTGCAAAATAGTAACTCAATGTTGGGGCTGTAGTCATAGTACAGCAGGCAGGCTGCTTCAATCCGGGCTCTCCATATGGTTCTCTAAGCAGAGCCAGGCGTGACCCTGTGCACAGAGCCAGCAGTAAGCCCGAAGCATCATCACAAAAAAGTGGTTGTGGTGGCAAGGGACCCAAAACCACCATCAAGGTGGGCAAAACAGCTTCATGGGCTGAGTGCATGCTTAGCCTGTGGGACAACTGGATTCCACCCTCATCACTGCTAGGACTGACCCCTGACGCTAGTCATCAGAAGCCCCCACTACTGCCAGTTATGCCCAAAGCACTCCCCACTCAAAACACGTCATCCTCACTAAAATCTGAAGAACTTCAAATAGAAGCAAGCCTGCAGTTTCTCTCTATTTTGGTTTTTGGACTACCCCCGGCAGTGCTCAGGGCTTGCTCTTGGCTGTGTGCATCCGAATCACCCCCGGCGAGCTGGGGGACCATAGGGGATGCCGGGAATTGAACACGGATTGGCTGCATGCAAGGCAAGTGCCCTCCCTACTGTACTATCGTTCTAGCCCCAGCAGTTTCATGTATGTAACTATTAACACAGCAACCTCTTAGATATGGAGGGATTTCACATTCAATGCCAACAAAGATGCAGTGAGTTCTCACATCCAATTGTAGATATGCAATAAAGACACAATAGGGCTTCAGGCCGGAGGGATAGTATAGCAGTTAGGGTGCTTGTCTTGCACACAACTGACCTGGGTTCAATCCCCAGCACCACGCCACCCCCACCCCAGCGGGAGAGACCCACAAGGACCAAGCTGAGCTCCGTGTAGCTCTCCGCGCCACTGGCAGAAACAGCAAGAATAAAAACTATAACAATAGCGAAAATAGTAAAAGAAATACAGGTTTGCTTACCATTTTGAATCTGGGCCACTTTCTTAGAGATCTCTCCAATGATCTGTCAGGGGGGAAAAAAGGTAATAAATTTCCATGACTTCTGAGTATTCTGAAAGCACAGGAAAAATATAACTCAAAACTAGCAACTCAAAATACTTAGATAACCTATAACAAGATCTTCGTTATCTCTTATACAAGAGCTTCTTGGCTCCAATACAACAATCTTCACTAACTTTCTCCTAAGGAAACATTTTTGATCCTTCTATTAGCAAATTATTCATAACAAGCAATATAAATTATTGTGGGCCTGCTATGGGGCAGGCTTACGGGGTGATTGAAAGATTGGAAATAATGGTGTTAGAAAAGTGCAACGTGATGGGACCAGTGTTGGAATACTGAATGTCCGTAACAAAATATCATGAATAGCTTCGTGAACCACAGTGTTTATACAAAGTCTGAGGGCAAAATAAAATTTAAAAAAAAAATAAAATAAAATGGAATTTCTAAAAACAATACTCAGGTAAAGGTGAAAGGTAAAGGCCCTCCCGTTGATCATCGATTTGCTCAAGCGGGCCCAGTAATGTCTCCAGTGGAGACTTTGTTGTTACTGTGTCTGGCATATCGAATACTCTCGGTAGCTTGCCGGGCTCTCCGAGAGGCGCAGAGGAATCGAACTCGGGTCGGCCATGTTGGCCGCTTGTAAGGCGAACGCCCTACCGCTGTGCTATTGCTCTCAGAGGAGAAAAAAATACTCAGAAGGCTAGAGGGAGAGAGTACAGCAGCTCGAGCACTCACCTTGCAGACTAACCCGGGTTCAAACCCTGGCACCCCACACTGTTTCATGAGTCCCACTCAGGATCCCTGAGCACAGAGCCGAGAGTAAGCCCTGCACACTGCCGGCTGTGGGCCAAAAATCGGGGGGAAAAAAAGATGGTTTCAAAGGCATTAAGATACTGGCCGGGTAAGAGGAACAGTAGAGGCACCATCATAGTACAGCCAGAGCCCATGTGCTGCTTGCGCCTAGGTGGCCAAGCACATGTGGTGCCTGAGCACATGTGTCACATTCAACTCCCCTCCTGATATGTGTACTTCCATGCTTTCGTGTCGAGTGCTGGGATGTGTGTAGGGCTCTCTCCACCCTTGGGGAAGCCCGTGTTCTCTCGAGTCTGTTACTTTCCACTTCCTCTCTTCCGCTTTCCCTTCAAAACCCTCCAAATAAAACCTATTTACTTCCAAAGAAAAAAGGATAATACAATCGGTGGAGTGTGTTTCCCTTGCACAGATATGATCCCAGGTACTGCACCACATATAATGGTGCACAGAGCCAGAACAGACAGTTAGGGGTCTGGAGCACAGGCCCCGCCTTTCCAGCACACACTTTCAGCATGACCAGGGCTGAGCCCCAGCACCAAACTGGGAGGAGGAAGGGGGAGGGAGAGAGGAAGAGAGGGAAAGACTGCGAGAGAGGGAGCGAAAGAGGGAGACGGGGAGGGAGAGGGGGAGCGGGAGGGGTGGGGAGGGGGAGAGAGGGAGGAGGAGAGAGGAAGAGAGGGAGAGAGAAAATACTTGGGTCAATCATGTGTCCAATAAGGGCTCAATCCCCAACAACACAATGATTCCCTGAGGACAGAGTCAGGTGTAAGCCCTGAGCACAGCCCCACCCCGCCCAAAAAAATTAAAAAAAAAAAAAAAAACAGGGGAGAGGAGCCTGAAGAGAAACTCACTGGGCCAAATATGTGCTCGGGAACAGCCCCCAAGCATCAACAAGGTGACTTGATCCAGGCTGGACTAACAATATAGCGGGCAGGGTGCTCGCCTTGCACATAGCTGACCCGGGGTTTAATCCCCAGCAACCCATATGGTCTCCCGCGCCCACCAGGAGTGATTCTTAAGTGCAGAGCCAGGAGTAACCTCTGAGCATCACCGGGCACGGCCCCAGAACCAAAAAAGAAAAGAAAAAGGTTTCTTCCAGAGAGAGAGCTGAACGGGCTGGAGATCAGGTTTTGCCTGCTGGAGGCGCAGGTTCCATCTGCACAAGGGCCCCACAAGCACAGTCAGGAGCAACCCCAAAACACCAAGCTGTGTGTAGTTCCCAGGACTATTGGATGTGGCTCCAAAATCAAAAAATAAGTAAATACAAGGGGTTGATAACAAGGTTATACAAGGTACTAGTTCAACTCCACAAGAAGAAAACACCCAACTCCATCAAAAAATGGGGCAAGGAAATGAACAGAAACTTTCGCAAAGAAGAAATCCGAATGGCTAAAAGGCTCATGAGAAAATGCTCCACATCATTAATCATCAGGGAGATGCAGATCAAAACAACGAGATATCATCTCACACCACAGAGACTGGCCCACATTCAAAAGAACAAAAGTAACCGGTGCTGGCGCGAATGTGGCGAGAAAGGGACCCTCCTTCACTGCTGGTGGGAATGCCGACTGGTCCAACCCTTTTGGAAAACAGTATGGACGATTCTCAAAAAATTAGAAATTGAGCTCCCATTTGACCCAGCAATACCACTCCTGGGAATATATCCCAGAGAGGCAAAAAAGTATAGTCGAAGTGACATCTGCACTTGTTTGTTCATTGCAGCACTCTTTACGATAGCCAGAATCTGGAAAAAACCTGAGTGCCCAAGAACAGATGACTGATTAAAGAAACTTTGGTACATCTACACAATGGAGTACTATGTAGCTGTTAGCTGTTAGAAAAGATGGTCATGAAATTTACATACAAGTGGTACTACATGGAAAGTAGCATGTTAAGCGAGATGAGTCAGAAAGAACGGAATAGACACAGAAAGACTGCATTCATCTGGGGAACATAAAGTAACAAAATAGGAGACTAACACTCAAGAATGGCCGAGATTAGTACCAGGAATTTTGCTCCATGGCTTGGAGGTCAGTCACACATGCTAGGGTTGCTCAGATAGAGAAGGGAGCACCAAATAAAGGGTGTTGGGAGGATCCTCCCAGGATGGGAGAAGCATGCTGAAAGTAGACTATAGACCAAACATGATTGCCACTCAATGCCTCTCTTGCAAACCACAACACCCGAAAATGAGAGAGAACAAAAGGGAATGCCCAGCCACAAAGGCAGGGTGGGATGGGGGGTGGGAGGGATGTTGGGACCTGTGGTGGTGGAGGATGGGCGCTGGTGGAGGGATGGGTACTTGATCATTGTATAACCGAAACCCAAGCACAAAAATTTGTAAGTCTATAACTATACCTCATGGTGCTTCACTAATAAAAATAAATAAAAGTAAATACAAAGATGAAATTCACATAAACATACCTGTCGTCTCCATTTCTCAGCCTTGGGCAGCTCCGTGCACTCTGAGGCTAGGAAGGGCCTTCGTTCCTAGGAAGCAGAAATCACGTGACACGATGTCAGTGAGATGCATGGCACAATGTTCTCAACTGTCAGGCTAAAAAGACTCAGTTCCAACAACTGATGGCCCCCATACAGGGGAACTTTTTGTCCTCGATGAGCTTCAATAGGCCTTATTATGCATGCCTCCCTCTCACTGGTCTGATTCTGGAATAGGCAGGACAGGCTAAATCTTCACTGTACTAAGGTCATGCGCACGTCCCCAGATCTGGTACTTTACCTACCTAGGTCTGGTCTTAGAAATGCTGGTGGGGGCCAGAGCGATAGTACAGTGGGTAGCGTGTTTGCCTTGTTATGCAGCCGACCCAGGTTCGATCCCCAGCAACCCATATGGTCCCCCAAGCACCGCCAGGAATAGCTCCTGAGCATCGCTGGGTATGACCCAAAAAGGAAAAAGAAAAGGAAAAGAAGAATTGCTGGTGATACTCTTGACCCCAGTGTTTTTTTTTAATTATTATTATTATTATTATTATTATTTTTGACCCCAGTGTTTAGAGAGAAGGATAGGGAAGAAAAAAATCAAGAGGGGGAAGAAAAGAAAGGGAAGTAATGGGTGAACAGGCCTCAGGGCTCAGTTATATCAGTGACATGGGGGAGGGTACTGCCCTATATCCAAAACACAGACTCAACAAAACTGAAAACACGAGATCTAAGCTTCAGCCACAAAAACTCTGTAAGATGCCTGTCAAGCTGACAGCAGGAATGGAGTGAGGGTTGGGTGGGCAGGGAATAGGGGAACACTGGTGGAGGGAAGCTGACACTGGTGGTGGGATTGGTGTTGAAATATTCTATGTCTCGGGGGCCAGAGTGATTACAACAGGTAGGGCATTCACCTTGCACACAGCCAACCCAGGTTCAATCCCCAACATCAATATGGTTCCCCCAGCACTGCAAGTAGTAATTCCGGGGTGCAAAGCCAGGAGTAACCCCTTAACATCAGCGGGTTTGACCCAAAAAGCACCCCCCCAAAAAAACCACCTAAAACTTAACTATTAATAACTTTGTAAATCACAGTTAAAAAAAAATTAATTAAAAAACAAAAGGAGGGGCTGGAGCGATCAACACAGCGGGTAGGGCATTTGCCTTGCACGCAGCGAAGATGGCCGATACAGGTTCGATTCCCAGCATCCCATATGGTCCCCTGAGCACTGCCAGGAGTGATTCCTGAGTGCATGAGCCAGGAGTAACCCCTGAGCATAGCCGGGTGTGACCCAAAAAGCAAAAAAAAAAAAAGAAATGCTGGTAATAAATCTAGTGACATTGACTGTACTACATTTAGTGCAGGAAATAATTGGTAAAAAATGAATTGTCCAAACTAGAGACAGCTACATAAATTAGGTCCAGATATACTACCTTTAAGAAAGGAGGGCTAGGGGCTGGAGCAATAGCACAGTGGGTAGGGAGTTTGCCTTGCACGCAGCCGTCCTGGGTTCAGTTCCCAGCATCCCATATGTTCCCCCGAGCATTGCCAGGAGTGATTAATTAAAAAAGGAGGGGCTGGAGCGATAGCACAGCGGGTAGGGCGTTTGCCTTGCACGCAGCCAAGATGGCCGATACAGGTTCGATTCCCAGCATCCCATATGGTCCCCCGAACACCGCCAGGAGTGATTCCTGAGTGCATGAGCCGATACAGGTTCGATTCCCAGCATCCCATATGATCCCCCGAGCACCGCCAGGAGTGATTCCTGAGTGCAGAGCCAGGAGGAACCCCTGTGTGACCCGAAAAGAAAAAAAAAAAAAAAGGAGAGTTAGCAGTGTTCAGAACAAACATACACCCTAGTGTATAACTTGTGGGGAAAACAAATCAAAACAATAACAATGTGGCAAAGAGTTCTCCCCTGACCTGGCAGGGTCTAGGTTGAGCTGCTCCCCATATACAGTTTCCTATTATTCAATATTAGATAGAGCTGGAACTGTAAAGGAAGGGGACCATCTTATTATAGAGAAGTTGAGAAAATGGCATTTAGGGTACAATTCATGAAGAAGATCAATACCAACCTTCACTTTTCCCTCTTCCAGTTGAGCTTGGCGAAATCTTGCCAAGGCCGTCCTAGCAGGGATAGATGGAGAGAACGAGACAGGTCAGATACTGCTTAGCGACATCTCAGCTCCCAAGTGCCTGGATGGGTAAATCTGCTCAAATTTAGTGTCACTCAGGGTTTTTATCATCAGGTGAAGCGCTTAGAAGGTCATTTATCGGCAAGAGAGAGTACAGAAGGTTAGGCACTTCCCCTGCATGTTACTGACGCTGGTTTGATCTCTGGCACCACAAGTATCCTCTGAGCAATGAGCACAGATACAGGAATAGCCCCTGAGCATCCCTAGGTGTACTCCAAAATCCAAAAGAAAAAGAGGCCATTTGTGTTCCTAAATAATTAGCACTTACAGCCAGAGAGACAGGCAGGGCACTTGGCTTGTATGCATGTAGCCAAATCCAGTTTGATCCCTAACACTGCATATAGTAGCCCCATCTAGTCAGGAATCAGCCCCAAGAACAGCTGGGTGTGACCCCAAATCTAACAAAAACCCTAACAATAATCAAGATCAAATAGCACGCAAGGACTGTAAAAATATGTACTTATCAAACTGCCAATGAACAGTTCTTATCCAAATCTTATCCAAATGCTTAGGTCTAATATCCTGGGGGAAGGGGGGGGGCGGGCAGCTGGGACTCTCAACAGCCCCTATACCCTTTCCGGATGAAAGAGCATTATTCAGTGTGATGGATTTCTGGGAGATGGCAAAAAAATATGCATGGGAAAACATATGGACAAATAAAGAAATACAGCTTGTTTGTTTGTTTTTTTTGGGGGGAGGGGGCACCAGGCAGTGCTCAGGGATGACCCTTGGCTCTGCATTTGAGAGCTGCCCCCAGTGGAGCTTAGGGGCCCATGGGACTGAACCCGGCCTTCCTGCATATAAAGCATATAAACCTTTGAGCTCTCTCCAGTCCTGGGTTATAGCTTGAAAGCTTACATATGAAAAAAAGAACTCCAGAGTGATAATTACATTATATGACATCTAAAATCAAGTTGATACTTACATGGCCTTTTCTGCGTTTCGGGCCTAAAATGAGAGAAAAGAAAAAGAACAGTGAAAGCCTTTTTTAAAAACAATTTTTCAGTTTTAGTGAAAAAATTGAAAAGGACACATTCACAACACATGATGCTAACTAAAAACTATTGGACATCAGCAGCAACAAATAAAAAAAACCCAAACCCCATGGGGTCCGAGGGACAGTAATGAAGATAAGGCACTTATCTTGCACACAGCCAAGCAGGGTTCAATACCAGTACCACATGGCTCCCCCAAGGCAGCCAAGGGTGACTCCTGAGCTCAGAGTCAGGAGATAAAGCCGTGAGCACAGCCGTGTGTACCCTCCCTCAAAAAACTCCAAATCCTGACTTTATGCTGTTCATCTACTTAAAATCTTTACTCCTTCACTGTCTTTTGGAACTGGCTAGTTTAAATATCCCTCAGAATTTACTGGTGACACATCCCAGAGACAACTTCTGTGACCGAGCCCCCCCCTTCCAACTAGGCAGTGACCCTTTGTCAGGGTTTAAACTTATGCCACTTCCCACCCAACGCCGTATTGGTCTGGTTCTTGCCAGTGAAAAATGGAGAGTAAAAATCTCAACACTGGCTTCTACAAAGTGAGTTTTATTTAAGCATGACTCTCATGTAAGAGAATAATTTCCTATGTGAAAGGCCTCAGGTTCCCCAGTCTTACACGGATCAAAGCTGAGGGGTGGGAGTTGGAGGGGAGGGAAACTGGAGACTTGGTGGTAGGAAATGTACATCGTGAAGGTTACTGAAACCCAACCATGAACAACTGCGTAACCAAAAAAAGAAAGGAAGAAAAGGAAAAATAGAAAAAAGACAAAGCTCTTAACTCAGAGAGTGTAGTGATGAGGCAGGAGCTGAAGAAGTGAAGACGCCAGGTGTGCAGTTGACAGGGGGCAGCAAATGGAGGCACAAGCGCCACTTAAACCTCCCTTCTCCTCTCTGAATGGAGGCAGAAACGAACTTGGCTCAGGCTTGGTGGGGAAAGGAACAAGGTACGGACTGACGATGGTGGCAAGGCTGCTCAGTGGGAAGCATCCGAGAGACCCACCTGCATGTCCAACGTATTTCACTCAACCTACAAGTTCTAAATATTCAACTCCGTGTTTCACAAAGCCAGCCTAGTCCCAGCTAAAACCATCATGTGAGATGCTTAGAATCCAGGCATAGATGTTTCTTCTGAGAAAACTCAAGAGTAACCCACCACACACACACACACACACACACACACACGAATGGGGGTGGATGAAGAGATAGTACAGCAGGCACAAGGTGTTTGCCTTGCATGTGGCGCACCTGGATTTGATCCCTGAGCACTGCCAGGACTGATTCCTGAGAGCAGAGCCAGGAGTAAATCCTGAACATCGCCAAGTGTGGCCCTCAAAAGAAAAAAAAAGGGCTGGAGTGATAGCACAGCAGGCAGGGCGTTTGCCTTGTATGCAGCCGACCTGCATCCCGTATGGTTTCCTGAGCACCGCCAGGAGTAACTCCTGAGTGCAGAGTCAGGAGTAACCCCTGTGCATCACTGGGTGTGACCCAAAAAGGAAAAAAAAAATTAAAAGAAACAAAAACATAAATGGGGGGACCGGAGCGACAGGACCGCAGATAGGGCATTTGCCTTGCATGCAGCCGACCCGGGTTCGATTCCCGGCATCCCGTATGGTCCTCCAAGCACTGCCAGGAGTAATTCCTGAGAGTAAAGTCAGGAGTGACCCCTGAGCATCGCTGAGTATGAGTGTGACCCAAAAAAGGGAGAAAAAAAATCCATGAAATCGGGCAGAGATGGTAGAGTAAGGCACCTGCCTTGCACATGGCTCATCTGGGTTGGATCCCTCAAGAGCAGTGATCCTTGGGCATAGCCAGATGTGGCCCAAAAAAAAAACAAACCCAAAAAAAACCCCCAAAAAAACTATCCAGTTGATGTGATTAAGACCATGCACCTGGGGCTGGAGCAATAGCACAGCAGGTAGGGCGTTTGCCTTGTACGCGGCTGACCCGGGTTCGATTCCCAGCATCCCATATGGTACCCTGAGCACAGCCGGGGGTAGTTCCTGAGTGCCAGAGCCAGGAGTAACTCCTGTGCATCACCGAGTGTGACCCAAAAAGCAAAAAAAAAAAAAAAAAAGACCATGCACCTGAGTGACAGCCCACAAATACCCACGTGTGATGGTGACAGTCACGTAAATACCCTCAACTCCTGTACCCAAAAATCTAAGTGTCTAGGGATGCTGTCCCCGTTTAGGGGGTAGTGGAGGAAGGGGACTGTCAAGAGTGTCAAAAAGGAAAACCCCAGGAGAGCAGGAAGGGCTCAATGGCAAGTGGGTGGTGTGCAAGCATGACAGCTGGGTTGGAGTCGCCACCACCAGGCCAAGCGCACGGCGCGGGGCAGTCACTGGGGCAGAACCGCCTTCCTTGGCGACTCTATCTACACTGGCCAGTACAGCTTCGGGCACTGGCTACCAGGGACGGGGAGGAAAACTCCAGTCTCCGACGCCCGGCGTGTTACGCCACTGGGGCTTCGATTCCCCAAGCCGTCACAGTGACCCGCGTGGACAAGCGTCCTCCCTCCCTGCAGGCGCGCAGCCGCTGGGCGTGGGGAGTCGAGGGGGCGAGGGCCCGGGTCCGAGAGAACGGAGAGAGGTAGAGGGGCGCGCCCCGGAGGGGGGCACGACTAGGGGCAGGCGGAGACCGGACACGCGCGCTCCCGGGCGCGGGAAGCCCGCGCGACGTCCATGCCCAGGCCTAGCTCGGTCCGGAAACGCTTCGCGGGAAGGAAGCGCCGGCGAGGCGGGGAGGCGTCCCCAGGCGTGCAGGGGGCCCGCGCCCGGGACCCGCGGAGATGCCCACGCGCCCGCCGCCTTCCCCGCCGCACTCACCATGATGCCAGGAGGACGCGCCCACCGGCCCGCGGCCCCCGGAGACGCCCGCTGAGCGCAGGGCGCAGCGCGCGTTCGCTGCCGGAAGAACAAAAGGGAAGGACCGGAAGTGCGGGCCCGCCGCCGGAAGTGAGCTTTCTGGGCGGACGTCGCGCCGACGCGCACGCGTGCGAGGAAGGGGCGGGCCGGGAGGCGGAGCCTGGTGGGAGACTCGCGCTTGCGCAGTGGGCCCGACCTGACGGCGGGCTGGGTGTGCTCTCGCGATAACTCCTGCGAACTCTCGCTCGTCCCTGGAAACGTAAACTCGCTGCTGGCCGACGGTCGTGTCGCGCTCGCGTGGCTGCTCGTTCCCCGGAGCCCCTTCCTGGCTCTTTGGCGACAGCGAAATGCCCCTTTGGAAGTCTCTGCTTCTCGTGACAGCCGGCTGACCAAGACGCGCCGCTTTGAACGCCGCGCGGCAGCGCCAGGAGCCGAAGCTGCAGCGAGCAGCCGCTCCCCGTCTGCATTTCCCGGGAGTTGGCGGGTTTCCCAAAGCCCCGTCGCGTCCCTCAGTGATTTACACGGGACTTTGCTGTTTTGAGTTTCTCCGCCGCATTAGAGCTGTACCAAGTCCCGTCGTCTATAAATAAGCAAACGCCCAGGAAAGGAAAGGCCACTTCCTTGAGGGCGGAGGCCCGTTGGAAAGGCGGGATGTTTCTACCCAGAGACGCGGTCATTCCGCGTGATGGACACATCCCTGGCATCAGGGCCTTAGCGAGGACCTGTTCAGCCGGAAAGGCCAGAGAGAATGGTTCTGCTGGCTACACCGCGTGCTTTCAGAAACTGAGTCAGCTGTGGTGCAGTCCTGGCGGTGCCTGGTAGCAGATTCCGCCTGTAGAGCGACCTTCCTTCCCGGCGGTTTTGGCCATGCAGAGGAATTGTGCCAGGACACCTCATCTGGGGCAGCAGCCCCAGCTGCAGCCCCGAGGCACCAGGCAACGTGGAAGCAGTTGGCATGTGGTTCAAGTGCATAAACTACACTCCAGGGAAATAGTGGACAGTGCTGGCGCACATATTCTCGGGGGAGTGGGGTGGGGGGATCACACTTGACAATCCTTTGGGGGGCGTTGCTTCGGGCCACATCTGAGCGATGCTGAGGTTACTCCTGGCGGTGCTTAGGGGACCACATAGGATGCTGGGGATCGAACCCGGGTCAGCCACGTGCAAAGCAAACGCCCTACCCGCTGTGCTCGGTCCAGCCCCCACTCATCAATTCCTAATGCCCCTGAGTTACTCCTGCGGTGCTCGGGGGTACCATATGGGATGCTGGGGATAGAACCCAGGTCAGCCGCGTGCAAAGCAAACGCCCTACCGGCTGTGCTATCACTCCAGCCCCCACTGGTCAATTCCTAATGCTCCTGGGTTACTCCTGTGGTGCTCGGGGGACCATATGGGATGCTGGGGTCAGCCACAGGCAAGGCCTGCGCCCTACCTGCTGTACTGGCACTCCATCCCCAAGTGCACATACTTATGCATGGAGAAGGCAAATAAAACAAGACAGCATAATAAAACTGACAAGAGCACGTTTGTTCTTGAAGATTTAGGTGGGCATAGGACCACCTCAGGGATAGACTCCCACCTCTCTGTAGGATGAGTGTGATTTGAGATTAAATAGTTGACAGTGGGAACCTAGACAGGAATAGGTATGCTCATGAAAAAGAATGCACATTCCTTCCCCTTAGCTGAGGAAAGTGAAGGGTAATAGCTATTCGGAACTCAGTAATGGGAGGAACTGTGAAGCTATTCACCCTGTCCACGAAAACACCTTATTCTGCTATGTTAGAAACATATTTGTCCTGAGTTATTTTGTTTTGTTTTTTTTGGGGGGATGGGGGGCGGGGGAATGGCTTCTTGTTTTGGGCCGCACCTAGTGGTACTTGGGTTACATATGGTTCTGTTCAATTTATCACTCCTGGTGGAGCTGGGGAGACCATATGTGGTGCAGGGGATTGAACTCTTGTTTTGTCTTGTTATTTAATTTTAAAAAATGATTACAGTGGCCAGAGCAGTAGTACAATGAATAGCTTACCTTGCATGTGGCTGACCTAAGTTCGATCCCTGGATCCCATAGTTAGCCCAGGAATGATTCCTGAGTGCCGAGCAGAAGTACTCTGAGCATTGCTGTGCGTGGCCCAAAAACAAAATAATTAAACGGGGCCAGGCCAGAGAGATAATGCAGCAGATAGGGTATTTGTCTTGTACACAGCTTACCCAGGCTCAATCCGTGGCATCCCATGTGGTCCGAGTACCACCAGGAGTAACCCCTAAGCACCTCCCAGTGTGGCCCCAAAACCAAAAAAAACACAGGTTGTATAGTACGTATAGGGATCCTGGCTTGCATGCAGGCCTAGGTTCGATCCCCAGCACCACATATGGCTCCCCTGAGCCCTACCAGGAGTGATCCTTGAGCACAGTGACTGGGCCCAACAGCCTTCTACTAAATAGTCCTGGCCAAGAAAGTACAACAGGTAGGGCACTTGCCCAGCACAAAGCCCACCTGGACCCTAACCCCAACATCCCATAGAGTCCCCTGAGCACTGCCAGGAGCAAGTCCCGAGTCCAGAACTAGGAGTAACCCTGAGAGTTGCCCAGTATGGCAACAAGAAAAAAAGACAATACCAAGTCCCAAACGAGATTGCCCACAAGATGAGATCTTGTATTTCTGCTTCTATCCATGAAATCTGCAGTGCTCACCAGAGCAGGATTCCTAAACCACAAATTGCCTATGGATTATCCTTCCAGAACCTAATCTCCTAAGCCCTTAACAAATTTTTGTTTTTGTACCACAACCAGCAGTGCTCAGGGTTTACTCCTGGCTTTGCGCTTCTCCTGATGGGGCTTGGGAAACCATATGGGGTGCTGGGTATCAAACCTGGGTCAGCCTTGTGCAAGGTAAAAGCAGAGCCAAGAAACATCTCTAAACATTGCTACCAAATCAGAAATTTTAAAACCACACAGCTGCTGCCAGCCAGATTGGGACTTCAAAAGGAGTAAGTTTAGTATTTTAGTGACCGAGTTGCTGAATAAGGTCTTGCCGCCAGCCTGTGACTCCTTATAATAATGGATTCCCTTTAGTTTTGACATTGTCAATTTACTGATACTTAAAACAGACTGCACCCAGTTTATTAATCTTGCCGCTATCTGTAAAACGGCCTTCCTTTCTCCATTTCAGAGCCTCCTGTCCATTTTACTGCTTCCTACTTAGGAATCCTTCATCCATCCCCATTGCCACCCACCTTCTTATACCAGCGTGAAATCGTTTAGATACCTTGGTTATTAGCACAGTAGCCTTACATGATCTGCAAAACTGATTTCTCTGTGCTGTAAACCTGGCATGGTACTATTTGTTCTCATTTTCCCTCATCCGTGAAACTGGAGATTTACATCGGGGCCAGGTAGGGTGTTTCCTTTGCAGGCAGGTGACTCAAGTTCAATCCCTAGCACCCAGTACCAGTATGGTCCCCGAGTCAGGGAGTGTTCCTGAAGTTCAGGGCAGGAGCCCGAGTATCACTTAGGGTAGTCCAAAAATAAAACCTGCATTTCTCCTTGAATGCTAAAATTAAAGTCCACAGGCTTTTCCCTATTGGAATTGTAGGGGGACTATTAAAAAGATCTTTTAGACCAACAAGAAACAGTGCTTTGTGCCCAACACTTGCAATACATGACTCCTAGCATGTCCCTAAGGTGACAAATTGACTTAGGAACAAAGATTCAATAAAGGGCAGTTGTGGGCAGTATGGTCCCTCAAGCCTACAACCTCACCCAAGGTCTGAAACCTGTGAATCTGACTTTCCAGGCCCGGAGGCTAATTCTGGATTGGGTTATCTAGTGACCCCACAAAGAATCAAGAAGGGCTGGAGTCCCAAGATGCTGACAAAGACTACTGAACTGAGGAATGCAGATGCACACAACACTGATAAGGTGGAAAAGGCAAGGGTTCTCTCCTACTGTTTCTTTCCAACCTCTAAGACCTATTCTGAACCTCTGACCTAAACTGTAATAAACATGTTTAGAAGTTAGTGTATTCTAAGAGCAGTGTAACCTAATACAAATTCTGGTAGCTGTGAAGGGTGCAGCTGTAACAATCATTAAAAATGTAAAAGGGGCTGGAAAGATAGCACAGCGGGTAGGGCGTTTGCCTTGCACGCGGCCAACCCGGGTTCGATTCCCAGCATCCCATTTGGTCCCTTGAGCACCGCCAGGAGTTAACTCCTGAGTGCAGAGCCAGGAGTAGCCCCTGTGCATCGCCAGGTGTGACCCAAAAAGTCAAAAAAAAAAAAAAAGTAAAAGCATTCTTGAGATTGATGGATAGTTGGAAAGAAAAAAAGAAAAAAGACCAGAAACTCTGTGCCGATTGTTCACAGAAACCTGAATCTTGCTGGACTGTACTGGTCCAGCAAGATGATGGTCTGGCATGTGGTTTGACCAGCTGTGCTGCATGTTCTCCCCAGAGCACTTAGCAGCACCAATCCCTAAGATCCAGTAGTTCCTGAGCACTGCGAGACATGGCCCCAAATCACCAAACTCCCCAAAAGATAAATCAAGATGTCATCTGTGAGACAGTAACTAAATCTGGGGGAATAAGCAATCTAATTTATGCAATGCAAAAGGGCTGCTGACTGGGAGGTGGCACGAATAAGCATTTTGCTCTGGTTTATTAGCCCAGGTTAAATCTGGCTCAAATTTGTCTTTAAATTCAATTTTTTTTCTGTGCATACAGAAAAATATACGATTGTGTCCAGGGATAAAACATACAGCGACAAGGTGCTTGCCTTTCATCAGACTGGCTCGGTTTGATCTCGGGCACTTCCTAGTTCCCTGATCTCCCCATTCTGTTTGCATACCCTGGCTCTACTCCACATGCAGACTTTTAAATGGGGGACCCATTGTGATTAATTTTGCTCCAGAAGATACTATTGGAGCGTTTTGGAGAACGCTTATTCCAAAGAACACTGATTTCCCTGTCACATTCCTAGGTTGAATGCATTTACATGAAGGTCAATGCAAACAACATTCTAAAACCTGTTTGCCGTGTACTCTTAATGAGGGCAGCAAATCTTCCAACACTATT